CTAGTTTAGTGAAAGCTCTTCAGTCCGGTTAAGTTCAAGAACCACTAGTAGAAAAAGTGTTCCAGTGTATCATAAAATTTCGACTCTTTGTATTGCAGTGTCTTCAGGTATCTTCTAAAATGTMTGGAAATTTCAAAGTCTCAGAAACTTGTAAGAATTTGATCTTGAGAAAGGCAATGTGTCTTAATATGGTGCCAATAGCTAAGGAATTATGGTGAAAGGTGATTTACAAAGACATAAGTGGCAGGTTTATATGACTATCACCAGCGTCTTTTCATTTTTTTCGGCTTTAGTGTAATWAAAGTGGATTAAATAATGGGCCTTAAATAATTTATGGTATTGTAAATTATTGGCAGTTCTTTTAAAGCTAATAACAAAGTCACCGCTTGAAAACAACTCATAGTTCATGTATCATTACAAAATGTTAATGATTGTGTTAGCTTGGGCAGAGCTATTGTAGTTGAGTTAATATAATTTCAAAGTTAGGGACAAAAATAATAATCTATTATATTGGTTGACGCAATATTTACAAGATCACTACGGACTGTACACCACTGCAGCGATAGACGTAATAAGCCTTATTGGCAAACTAAACGAATAGACCTTATAGGCCAAAGCTAAAAAGTATCGCTAAACAAAAGTATTTGGCCAATTCAAACCACACTTGATTTTTTCTTTTGTTTATCGTATTTTCTTTTTCCGGTTGAAAGGTTTTTCCAGAGGCTTGATTTTAATAGTAAGGCCACACGACGAGATTGGTAACGYATACACATTGAGTTGTTCAGTCGGTTCAGTTCAGTTTTGTAGTGAAAATTAAAATGTGTTAAGCGAATTTTACTTTATAATTTGAATTTTGTTTGGCTAAGGTGCGTCTACCTAGCAGCACTATCAAAGATTTTCAAAATTCTATTCTATAAGTTAATTGCAAAAGTACTGAAGAAAGATATGGAGTAATTGTATGTATCCACTCACCTGCTGGAATAGCGATCGCTAAAACTACGAGAACGACATCGAAGAACTTCATTCTTTAGCTGTTTTACTTGTACAAGTAAAAAGCAAACATATTTGAGTTCACGCGTCTATTATACAATCAACACTCGCAAACAAGAGCACCAAAACCAACCAATCAGAATATCACTGACTAATTAATTTAATATCTAGAATTTCTTGACAACCTTTGTCAATGTGCTTTARCAACAGGAAGCCCAATCTAATGTTTCGTTTTACTATACTATGTATGTGTCTTAATAAAACTTGAAATTTCTGCCTTTAAAGTGCAACTGAACCCTTTTAAAAAAACATTTAAAAAGTTCGAAATTCAAAATGGCGGCCAGTAAATTAATCAACTAATCAGAATGTTGGAGTGAATCACTCGACCAATCAGAAATTTATACCGGCCGTCATTTTGAATTTCGAATCGAGAACAAGGTCTAACAGACTGCGTCCCCGGGGGTATTTTTTTTGGGAGTGAGGAACGTCTTCATGTCAAGAATCTGGATGCTTTTTTTTCTGGTGTAAATGTTGCGTAAGTGTAATCGCATGTTAGAAATGATGCGTCGTCAAAAAGGTTTTGAATCGGTGAATTTTCTTTTCGTTCCACTCAGGCATAATTTCTTTAGTGAACAAGCTCTACAGCTGTGTTTTACTAAGGTGTTTCGTCCCAGCAGCACTACCAGGGACTCCAGCATCGTATGAAAAAATAT